GTAGGGAAAAGCAGAAGTGAAAGTCCACTGGTTACCTTGCACTGTGTGGTAAGTCGTGTTTTCTTAACTATTTAATTCCATTGCAATGCTAAGTAGTCTATTCCGTGACCAATATGATGTAGGCAAAGTTAAAATAGTGTCTTGCAAGCAGCATGGAAGCTCTTTTTATTGATGTCTGTGGCAAGAGAAAGCTCCCTGATCGTGTAGTTGAAACTGGACTGTCTGGACTGAAACTCCGAGAGTGTGACTGAATTTCAAATTCTTGAAAGAATATTCCATTATTTTGGATACAAGTAGGAGAATGATCTACATCCTTGTGTGGATTTAGATATCAAGGGCCAGTTTTACTAACAGCTTGTGCCAGCGCAAACCGTCTTTTGGCGTTAAGATAGTACTGTCAGGTTTTACTAAAGACGCGCAGTGATGAATTAGCACTGAAAAGGCGTGGACACAGTTATTTTTGCGCCTGACCTTATTGAATGTGCATTTGTAGGAGTTTCCCTTTCAGACGCAAAAGTTATGGGAGGAGAGTATTAAAATGAATCATGCAATGTGTTTTACTAAGGTTTGCGTTTGTCAAATAACTGGCATTTGTGCCATTATTTAATGCCTAAATAAAAACAAGTCAAACTATTTTGCGCTTGAAATGGCTGCAATTATTGTTGCAGAGAACAGAGCTTGCAGTAGAAGGGAGAGGATTTTTTCCACATTTTTTATTAATTTACACGTATTAAAGCCAGAAGAACACATTATCCGAACTAGGGCTGTAAAAAAAAAAAAATAGAATTTTGAATATTCGTCGAATTTAAAATAAAAATCCACATTTGAATGCAAAAACGTTGCATTCGAATTTTAGGTGTATGTTAAGGAGGCAGCTTATCAGCGGTGCACGAGATGTGATGACGATGTAAGTGTCGTTGCATTATAATGTTTTTGTTAGCCTGTCCAGTTGAAGCCACTAGACACGGCGCTGCTGCGTTGTTAATTACAAATATAGCGGAAAAAGAGAACATCAATGCGGAGGAGATGTAGTTTACGTCAAAACTGAAACCAAGCCGTTCACACAGAACACATATTTCACGCATTTTCTAGAGGGACATCTATCACCGTTGCACTCACGTCTCGCACAAAAGAGCTGCGTGTTTAGAAAGCCATATAAAATTAATACAAGTTCAACTTTGAAAAAGCATATCTCGAGACTTTAAGGCAGGTTTTTTCCCATCCCACTGCAACTCATGTTTTTAAATGAAAAAGTACTCTTTGTGATTGGCTTTCCACCCTTTGTATTAAACTATGCATACATACATGATGCTGTTTTGTTTATAGTTGTTTAAGCAACTTAATAATAATTGGTTTATAAACATTATTTTAAACATTATGCACTTTTTTTCACAGATAGTCATGTTATCTTATGCTTTGAATAAACGTGCATTAGTAATATTTTGCTCGATGCGCCCTCTTGTGGCCTCAGAAGAGAAGCCAAAAGCTTTTCTTCACCCTAACTGAAATTATGCATTTTAAATTCGAATATAATTCGAATTTTGATAATATTTAAGTACAAAATTCGAATGTACTTTTTCAGCCATTTTGACAGCCCAACATATCGTTTGCAAAGTCATGTTATTTTTAATTTGCTTCAGGAAATAAAAGACGACTTTGAACCCTCAACTAGGAGTCACTCAATACCAGCTCTATCAGAACTTCTCGCAAACCTTCATATTTTGGCCTCCGGTTCTTTTCAGCGTACTGTGGCTTCTTTATTTCTTTATTCTTTATTTGCGACTATGCTAATTTGCGCTGTGCTTGGTATATTGCGTTGGTCGATATGTAAATGAGATGTTGCGTCTGTGTTCTTTAATTTGCACGTTGTTAGTAAATCACCCGCAGAGATTTCCCCTCCCATCAGCACTGTTTTGGAATCGTTTAGTAAAACTGGCCCCTAGTTATTAGCAAGAACCCAGAATTTTGTGATTGAAGTGGACACAATGGATAATGGGAGCTGGGGCCTCATTTATAAAATGTTGCGCAGAAACCATCCTACATTTGATCTTATGATCATCTCTCAAATATGCGTGTGTGTGATTCATAGAATGAACGTCCGCATATAAAATGCATGTACGCCTCTCTTTCAGATGAATCGCAAATGAACTTGAACTTGCGCATTTCAGCTCTCTGCCTTGTAAACGACTCCTAATTAATGTCATTAACATATGAAAGATCACCAGTTATCAGAACAGCGAGCCGCAAGAACAGCTTACATTTCCAAAAACCTGCAGTACTCCGACAAGAAAAAGTGCGTTCGTCTGCTCAGACCCTGACGTGACGCCAAGCACTTTTCCACATCAAAGCCAGTTTTTACAAACATGAGTGCTGCGTGGATTAAAGCGTACACACACTTTATAAATGAGGCCCCATGACAATTCAGTGCTTTTCGAATTAATTAATACAATTTAAAAAATAGTTTGTTATTGACAATAAAATGGGGCTGATGTGATCATATTTTTGGTTTCTAGTTAAGTACTCAAGCTGCTACATACACAACTAGCTGAAGCTTATTTATTGAGCAGAACATTGACTGAGGACATTTACCCAGTAATGCGTTACAGTATTAGTAGTAGGGTTGCAAAGGGGTGGAAAATTTCTGGAAACTTCCCAAAAATCCCTGGAATATTCCCCAAAAAACCTGGAAAGTTTCAAAAATTTCTGGAATGTTTCAAGCTGCTACATACACAACTAGCTGAAGCTTATTTATTGAGCAGAACATTGACTGAGGACATTTACCCAGTAATGCGTTACAGTATTAGTAGTAGGGTTGCAAAGGGGTGGAAAATTTCTGGAAACTTCCCAAAAATCCCTGGAATATTCCCCAAAAAACCTGGAAAGTTTCAAAAATTTCTGGAATGTTTTCCGAAATTTACTGGAAATGTTCCACCTTTTTGCAACCCTAATTAACAACCCTAATTTTTCAGCATCTGAAACACTTGTCATAATTTAACAATATTTCTAAGATGGAGAATGCTGTTCTACAGTACATGTGATTTTCAAAGGACCGATTGCAGTCAAACGAGAGCGGTACTAGATGATGTAAAAATACATCCATCAAGACTCAAATTAATAAACTTGCATCTTATTTTTTGAGGTTTTGGACCAATAATTACTTACAGTAGTGTCTTGCGATGAAGACGAGAACAGTGACAGTAGTGGTGATAAAATGCATGAGGAAGATTAGAGAAGAGCAGTATTAAATATGAAGAAGAGGAGAACAATGATGAATGGCAGTGGGAGCAAGATGCAGTCACTATCCTTATCCCTGAGTCTCTAGAACTGCCAGATCTGCTTGGAATGCAACATGAAAACATGCTGAAATTGTAAAACTTGTTCAGTATTCTGCAACGTATTCTGCAAGTTTTCCAGCTCATCCAAGAGTGTTTTTTTAAACGATTAAGTAGCCAGGGTTAATGCCACTTTAACAAATATCATTAAATATCAGTGAACGCTCTAAATTGAACCCAACAGTGATCTGTGTTCTAATGATATGTGCACTTATGATACTTTACAGTGGCAAAACTTGGGATGACACATGGGAGCCTGCCAGCAAGTTCCAACATGTTTTGCCCGAGTCTCCACATCCCAACCAGCTTTCACCATGACAGACTAGTCACCGTAAACACCTGGACTCGTCAAGCACACTTCAATTCTGAGTGTTTGTTGCTGTTGTTTTGTTTTGCTTGCTGTGCTTTATTAAAGTTTTTGCACAGTGCATACATTCTTTTAGTATTTTTTTAAGAGTTGTCATTTTAAACACCTTTTGCATTTGTCAGGTAGTGTAGCATGGAGAGGTGTTTGTTATAATGGCATTATTTTTTAAGATTTTTGCAGTGCATAGTATAGGTACGTTTACATGTCTTGTCTGTTTTGCCAAACATGAATAAATACCACCATATAAATATAATAACAATATATTTGGTGTTACATATTTCCCGTTTGCATATTTGTTTCCATGTAGCCAAAAATATAATTAATTTATTAATAAGAATGATCATTTAAATTGTTATATTTCACTAAAACTGATCGCCTTTATTTGCATACAATTTTATAATGAACTGCTATTTTCATGTCTTTAATTTCAAGGTGAGAGAGCATAATGTACTACATTTGTCTACATTTGTCTTTAAAGTTTGGCATTGATATATTTTGGGAAATGAGTACAAAATGTGTTAATTATATATATATATATATATATAC